TATTCTGTATATTAAAAACTAGATTTGCCATTTACCTCAGTTTGTTGAAGAACAAAAGCTCAAGTTAACAAAAAAAAAAAAGCCAAACTAAAGATGATTTTTCTAAACATTGACTAAAAGATAAGACCTTAAAATTAGGAGTTAAAAAGTAGACTTTTAAGGAAAATCTAAAACTGACAAAACTGTAGCTGGTGCATAGCTAAAGATCTTCAAAACAGTTTACTGCTAAAAGCTAAGATCTTCAAGAAAAAGTTAAAACTAGACAAGCAGTAGGTAAAAGCCAACTCCTTCAAACTAGTAGCTAAAAGCTAAGATTAGCAAAACAATAGCTAAACAGAGTGTCAAAACCTGACAAAACAGCTAAGACCTTAAAATATTAAAGCTAAGACCTTTAAAACATTAGATCAATTTAAACTAGATAAACTGTCACTTAAACATACTGAAGTTGATTCAAAACAGCACAAAGTTTTACAGATATTTGTAGATTTTTTATTTTATTTTGATGAGAATAAAAAAAGCTAAATATTTCAATAATCCTGAATTTTGCAGCTTTGGAACAACAGTTTTTGGCACCTGTAAGATTTCATTTGATCAGTTTTTGGGTTTTATCAAATTCTTTTAATGTTTTATTTTGTTTTCAGCTGTGAAAACAGTTAGTTTGGGTTTAAACATTTAAAAACTTGTAATTACCAGGATTTACAGCAGGAGGCAGATCAGGACTATAAGAGGAAAACTGTCAAATTGTTGTTTTTTATTTGTACTTTAATTAATGAAGTTTGTCAGAGAAAAACAAAAAAAATTCTGTTATTTTTTGTTCAGTTAACCACGTTTGAGGAAAATAATTAATCCAAAATTCATTTAGTTATTGTTTTGAAACATTTTTAGGTTTGGATCAAATCCTTCAAAGTGTCACCAGGTGGAGCCTTAAACCTAAGGAGGAGAAATGAAGGATTAAATTGGATTTTCTTGATTTTTTATAAATTATGTTGTGATTAGTATATTTGTTGTTTCTCAAACTTCTGTTTGTGTTTTTCTTCCATCATATCTGCAGCTTCAGGGCGCCTCCTGAGGCCTCCTTGTTTGTGTGGAGTTAATGTGAAACTGATGACTTCGACTGAGGTCGTACCATGAATTAAATTAGTTACCGAGCAGGAAAACTGCTTCCAATATAACATTTTTGGGGTGTGCTCTGATGCTGCACAGCATGTTGGGAGATAAAATACATCACCCTGACTGACAGAATAAATCATATTTACTCTGAAAAGGTGAAGGAAGAAGAGAAAAAAAAAAAAGAAACAACGCAGTTTCTTTTAAAACAACCAGAACCTCATGAACAGAGATCAGCCTGAGCCKGAGGAGTCAGCAGGACTTTATTGTTTTGGTCCTGTGGATTGTTTAAATGGAGTTTTTTATGAGCTGGATGTTTAATGTTAACTTCAGCATGGAAGACTGAAAAAAACCCCACTCTGTTTACTCCACTAAAAAACTCAGTCAAAGCAACTTTACTGACATTTTACACATTTTCTTTTACAGAAAATGACAAAATTCACAGAACTGTGCATGTTTTTCTTTTCATTCTTGGTACAAACGTTTCTCTAAAAGTAAGGATCCCAACRTCTAAACATGAGTTTAGAAAACCAAACGACTCACAGGATTATTTTCATTGTGATAAGAAGTAAAATTGTTTTTGTGTTGTCATGTCCAATGATAATCTACATCTTCTTTTTCTTCTTCACCACAGCGAGCCATCCTCCTCCATCTCTGCCTCTCACTCCAACCTCCATGTTCTCTCTAACTGCATCTCTAACATCCCTCTACCAATATATCCAATGTCCCTCATCTGGACATGTCCAAACCGTCTCAGTCTGTCCCCAATAACTTTATATCCCCGTCCTTCARCCTATGGTACCTCTGATGATTTCATTCCTRACCTGATCCATCCTCGTCACTCCCAACCTCCATGTCTTCAGCTCTGGCTTCCAGTTTCACCTCCTGTCTTTTTGTCCACGTCTCTGTCTCCAAACCAGGTAGCTGCTTTCACTACAGTCTTATAAATGTTTCCTTTGAAGCTTGTCTAGGTTTACAGAGGACCTGCTACCTCATTGACCCTTTCATAGATAAGTGGATGGATCTCCATCTTCTGTTGCTTATTTGTAGTCGGATCCTGGAGGCAACAGCAGCGACACTTTCCGGCTCGTCCTGGAGGACACCAAGAGGTTCCCTGGACAGAGAGAGGATACATAATTCTTCTGGGCCTCCTACCAATGGGACATRCCCAGAACAACTCTAAAGGGAGGTGTCCTGATCAGATGAAGCCCGGCCACCCTACAGAGGAAACTCATTTCAGCCGTTTGTTTCTGGGATCTCATTCTTTCTGTCCTGATCCACCCTCGTGACCATAGGTGAGGGCTGGAACATAGACCAGTAAATCCAGTAAATCTTCATCATGACTGACCGAAGCAACGCCCTCATTACTGGCGATGAGACCCAGATCCGTTGATCCACAGATAAAGAAGGCGCAACATGTTGGACCTTTAAAAAAGCTAAAGCAAAATAAAAACCTCCCACACTCGTCTGTTTTAAGTGATTTTATTAAAACACATGATTACACTGTTTTATRACACTGTTGTGGTTCGCATACATAAAAAGTACAAAGTAAAAAAGTAAAAACTAAAACAACACAGAAGAAAAAAGCGTCTTTTTAAAGCACTCGCTCTAAATGTTTCCTCAGCTGCACAGAACCAATTCATAATCAATTGTTTGTACGAGCTTTGGAGAGAAAAAAACACTAAAACTAAACAGGAAAAGCAAATAAAAGGATTTCAATATACTTGTGATTTTAAAAATACATTTTTTATATGTATGTTTTTCACTGATTGAAGCTCGAACTATAACAGCAGCAAAAAGCCAAGCATTCATGCAAACATCATGTCAACGAATTAAGTCTGAATTTGAGTTTTAAATCATCAAATGGATCAAAAGAAGCTGGAAAAACAAATGAGTTCAACCAGCTTCAGGGTTCAGATAGTCAAAATCTTAAAAAATGTAAACTTTTAAATCTTAAGTTCATTTCAGATACATCTGATATTTGTTTTTATTTATTGACAGTTTAAATGATGAAATATTTAACATCAGACTAACATGCATTAAACACATTTATGGCTTTTAGTCGCTCTGTTGTTTCTTCATTGGATTGTTTCCTCTGTAAAACCAGAAACGAAAAAAAACAAAACAGGAGTATCTTTTTTCTTTTTTTGTCAGCACGTTCCAGCAATCTCTACTGCAATCCTGATAAACCTCTGCTCAGGTCTTTGAAAGAAGAAAAACACGAACAGGAAGCTTTATTTTCAAGGAAATATAATCAGCTGTGCAGTATACTTCAACTAAATTAAATTTGGCCTTTTCTGTAGTAACAAATGTAGACTGGGACCAAAAAAACCATCAAGATTTGTATTTTTACCAAGTGATTGCACCTGTTTTTATTCTGAAAAGCCTGCCCTGCCTCTAAACCACCCCTGATGCACTTCCTGTTAACCATTTAAGATGCATTCTGTCTCCTGTAGCGTTTGCTCGCAGCAGTATGCCTGACGGGAGATTTACAGCCTTGAATTAGGCGGCCAAATTCAATTTCCTTTGGAGCACACTGTTGGCCCGCCTTCCTCCTCCCGCCCCTCAAGCGCTGACGAACACCAGGCGGGCGGAGTAGACGAGGTCGGCCAGGTAGAGGACGAAGTTGACGGCGGAGAGCACGGCCACCGCCACGTTCTTGTCCCACTGGCACAACCCCCTCCCCGTGCCGCAGCTGGAGTGTCTGGTTTTCGAGCCGCCGTGCTTGGGGTCGAAGTTGAAGATGGCCCAGATGATGGTCGCCGACAGGTAGAGGACGACGGCCAGCAGGGCGTAGCCCGACAGAAAGCGGGAGAACGGGAAGGGCAGGCAGTTGGTGCACTCGCCGATGCAGAGCAGGATGATGATGGCCGACAGGATGAAGCAGATGCAGTAGACGGCCATGCAGTACCTGAGCGCGTCGTTGCGGTCGTACGTGACGGGGTCACTGATGAAGACAAAAATGATGCAGGCCACGAAGGTCTCGCAGATCTTCAGGAGCCCGGGCGCCGTGGCCATGTAGCCGGAGACCTCGCCCGGCCGAGCTTTGCTGAGACTCACCTCACTCATGTAGGCGATGGTGGCCAGGCAGGAGAAGACGGTGGACACGATGCGGAAGTTGCGAATCTCGTCCTGGCCGCCGCCTTCCTGGAGGAAGTAGAGCGGGAAGATGATGGAGGCCGACAGGCAGAGGAGGGCGGAGTAGCAGGCGAAGGTGATGGGGAAGTTCTTCCAGGAAACGGGCGCTTTGGTCTGCAGGCCGAAAAGCTCCACCAGGAGGACCAGAAGGGTGCCGGCGAAGCTGAAGGCCCAGCAGAAGATGCAGAAGTTCCCGGCGCTGTAGTTGACCCTGGCTCCGTGCACGGCGATGGAGAAGGCCACGCAGGCGAAGGCCAGGGCGGCCAGCCGAGTCCACAGCAGAGGGCTGGACTTCAGGACGATAGCCATGATCAGATTTATTACTTTCCTTCAGCTGCTCAGGCAGGGGGAACTGTGAACAGAGAAAAACAAAACAAAAATCGGCTGTTTTTAGTGTCGGCGCACAAGTTGCAACCACGTGAAGCCAAAAGCTCGCAGCTCCACCCAAGCAAACTCCATCGTCCTTCGTTTCTCAGCTGCACAATGTGTCTTTTGTACTTCAGGAACAGTAGACAAAACAACTCAGGGCATGACAACACAATTCAGAAGCACAAGCAAAAGCTGCACTGTGGTCACAGCAGATTTACATCTGCTCAAATCAGCTGGAGAACACGGTCTCATTTAAATTTTTTTTTTCTGAACTGCATTCCCACGCGTGTTTCACTTCACTCTGACATTCCTCCACGATGAGGCCCTCCACCCCCGCCGGTGAAGAGAGCGGCGCCGCTGCTTCATAGCTCCCACCGACCCCACATTGTATCTGTCATCATGTTCTAAACATGACCCTCATCATTTGTTCCACTCCCAGGGAGCTAATGGACTCAGAGTTCTGTGGAGCAGAGCTAATACGAAGATAAAATAATTCAAGCTCCAGAATTAAGACTGTCATTGAAATCCCTCCAGTGGGTCGTGACTCGTGAGTTATTTTGCTAACAAAGTCGACTCCAACAGTTTTGCCAAGGTTTTAAGTAACGTTAAAAGTACTTAACTCATGCCAAATTAAATCAATACTTACACAGTCATTTTTGAGGGATAACATTAGTTTGCTGTGGTTCATGAGATATTTTGCTAACACACACCCAGACACAAACTTTTGGTTGTGGTTTTAAGCATTTTTTGGCAGTTTTGAGGGGTTTCCTACCAATAGGTTATGTTTTTTTTTTTTTCCAGTTTTAGCCCATTTTGAAGGGTTTCCAACCAATCGGATATGTTTTTTTCCCCTTTATTTTTAGTTTTAGCCAGTTTTGAGGGGTTTCCAACCAATTTGTCAAAGTTTCTTTTGCATTTAAGCTCATTTTGAGGTGTTTTGGTCCTCCTACATAAATTTTACAGTGTGTTTGATGGTTTTTGGTGGTTTTGTGGGGGGTTTCATCCCCCCTYGGCCCATTTTACATGTTTTTTGTCGGTTTCATTTTGTAATTTATGGGCCCCATTTCCTTAAGGGGGCATGTGCATTGTAAGGATTTGGAAAGTTTGGCATTTTGGAAATGCAAAATTGGGGTAATGCCAGCTCTCCCGCAATTAAGGCCAGCAGCGCTCAGCTGCGAGGGTCAACCAATGCTGACTGCAAAGGAAACCTCACCAATCTGTCTTTGCCTTGGGTGGGTAATGGATAACCYTTTGGTGTTTTGTTTAATTGGAGCCCACTGTGGGCTGAAACACCAGGGGAAGAGATCTTAAGATGGTTTGATGATATAGATCAAATTTCCTATGATTTTCTTACAACTGTATTGATCGCGATGTAAAATGCTGGATAAAAAATTCCACTAATATTTCATTATTTAGCTCACTGTTCTTACATTTTGCAAATTTTTACTAAATGTTATGTCTAAAGGTTAAATCCTAAATCTAAATGTGTAAATCTAAATCTAAATAACAGTTAAATTTTAAATGTTGTGACTAAATGTTAAAGTTTACATTTAGGTATCTTGGAATGAAACACAGCTTTTGCTGTTAGCGCGCGATCTTCCTGCAACAAAAGCAACCGCTAATGTTGTTAATGTTGCTAATGTTGCTAATGCTGCTAATGCTGCTAACGCTTCACTGCACAACATCAAGCTCGCAGTTGCTAACGGTGTCCGAGCTGCAGCTACTTCAAACTGCCGTACCACATGTAGGCTACCATCCATGTTGTTTTCAATGAACACATTTTGAATACAAATTTTAAATGCCATCTTCAGAAACTTTAGCAGCATTAGTAGTTTTAGCCACGTTAGCAGCWTTAGCATTTGTCACAGAATGAAGAAAAGCCACACACCAACAGCAAAGTTTGTTTCACTTTGAAATAGGTACTTAAATGTAAACTTTATCATTATTGTATTTAACTTTTACATTTATGTTTAGGATTTAACATTTAAACATATTTAAATTTAAAATTTGGTAAAAATTAGCAAAGTGTAGTGAGCTAAATAAGTTTTTAGTGGAATTTAGGATTTTACACTCAGAATTTGAGCTACATTTATTTTACACTTGGCACCCCACAATAAACTGCCACGAAATGGAAAAGCCCTGTTTTCTAAAATATTCAGGGAGATTTTAATCAACAAAAAGAGTTAATGAGCCTAGAAAGACACCCCTCGTCCACTTGGCTCCACAAACTGCATTCCCAGTTGCTGGTTTACACAGACAGACGGTTATAAACAAGGAGGAACGACTTGTTTATGTTCGTCCTGTTCAACACCAACGGAGGACTTCTGGCCRTGGAGTCAGAAAGCTGAACTAAAAGAGGGCAAAAAGACCCTCCAGTTTGAGGTTTGGGGAGGTGAGCAGGGGTGTGTTGGAGGGAGGGGACACGGGGGAAGCCCTGTGTCTCAGAGGGACAGAAGTGATGGAGTGAAATAGCAGGGCAGTGAGTCAGCACCGGCCTCTTCTCTTTCACCGCTCTCCCTTTCACTCCCCGCTTTCTTGTAAGATTTTCCAGCTCGCTGATGCGTTCCAGATGTGCTGCAGTCTGGTTGCTGAACAACTGGYAACTTTGTCAGTTTTGCCAAACGTKCCCCCCCAACTTTTTCATTGTATTGCTGCGCTGCTCCGTTATTTTTTCCAAAAACCCTTAATGCTCCCCTTTCCAGCTTTATAGCCGAGCTATACCAGCACAAACCCCCACTGCTGCTCATGGCACCCAGTCAGGAAAGAAATACCAACGAGGGGAAAATAACCCAAGCCATGAAGAAGAAAGTGGAAAACACGACACAAACGGGGGGGACTCCCTCCACCAAAATGCAAGAGGTGCTGAAAATGTCAGACGCTATAAGGCAGGATGTGTGGCTGAGATGTCCAGGAAGTGAGAGGTCATGTGTTTGTTTTGTTGCCATGAAACAACGTCAGTCACTCAATTCCACCTCTAATCCAGTTAAGAGCAAGCAGAACCACGGGTCGGAGCACAAGGAGGACTCTGTTGGACCATGAAGAATACATAGGGTTAAAGCAGTATTATCTTTCATGCAAACTCATCTAAAACTGGACTCGGATCAGAAAACGTCTGATTCGTTGGGGTCAAGCTGACCCAGAACGCCTAACCGACCACGATGACTCCTTGTCAAATTAAAACCCGTGAAGTTTGATCTGGAGCCAGAATCCTTTTATTTTATTTTGTTTTTAAATTTACTGAAACAGATAAATTTCAAAATAAAAGCATGTCCCAGGCGATAGAGCAAAATAACAGCTGGATTTTGGGCCGATGGAAAAGTTCACTGACACTGGAGGTGGGTGTGCCTGCAGCCACACCCTGTTCCCACCACACACACACACACACACACACACACACACACAC